GAGGGGGGGGGGGGGGACACCTTGTATCACAATGACACAACACACATTTTGTGATTTTAATGAAAGTATGGCCTGCTGCATGCATTACTTTCTGAATATTAAAGGCAAATGCACATGAAGTTGCAGAGTGAGCTATGCACTCAGTAGTTCTATTGGTTTACAAATCACAAGCCCCAGATTGTTTTTACTATGTTTTATGCCACTCATTAAACTAAAACTAAACAACGTTAGGTGAGCCAGTCACATGGTCTGGCTGACAACTGGGACTTTTTAGAACTTTCTTTTACCTTTCCAAAAGGTCCAGATTAAGAGTACAGTACCTATAAGGGAAAAGAAGAAGAGGAAATCCCAAACTAGTCTGATGATTAAAAAAAAAAGATTGGATTCACAAAGGGAGCTGAGTGAGAAGCACCCTTCTACTTAGGATTTCCCTCCCCTTTTCTTTCTTTCCGTAGGCAACAGATGCCACATTTCAGATTCTTCCATGTTTTGTCTGGGAGGTGGTGGGGAGGGGGCGACCTTTGGTCTTGTCATTCTGCTGCTGAGAGTTACATTAGAGAATGAGCAACCTAGGAAGAGCAGGGTGCCGAAATGTCTTCTGCTTCAGCAAAATCTGGTTGGCCGTAGAGCTGAAGGGAGCCTCCTCCTTCTCCGCCCACCCTGCAAACATTTCCCTTTGATCGCAAGAAGACCGTGCGGGCTTGCTTTGCCTAGTAAAAGAAGAGGCGTTCAAACCATGGATTCTTCTGATACACAGGGGAAAAAAGTAGCTATAATTGGGGGAGGATTGGTAAGAACCTTTTCTTAATGTTTTTTTACTACAGTCACTGACCAGAATTGCAAACACCTTTTTTAAACGATCATTGCTAGGCAGTCTCTTGGTGAATACTGGCTGTGTTTTGTACCCATATATATTTACTTGATGGAGAAGAGTGAAACAGGAAACCTAACAAGGTCTTCTGTTTGGCTGAAAATGTTTCAACCTTCAACTGTGCTTTAGTGTGAAATATAAAAATACGTTTAAGCTGAAAATAGCTGCCCTTTCTGTGACGATAAGGGGTTGCATTCATGTCTTCTTGCCTATGTATGCACACAAGCATGTCGTAATACACTTTGGCTATTTATCATATGGGCTTTTTCAGTGGCTTTTGCAATATGTTTGCAAGAATGCTGCTGGCCCTGTTTGCTTTCACCAGTCCTCCCCTGTGAGTGGCAGCTACCTAGGTCCTTTTGAGTATTTTGGAGCACCATTTTATGGGGCCCCGTTTTATGGGGCAACAGTCTGCAGAAATCAGGAAGCTACCATAGGTCCTTCCATGTCTGTTGAGTACGGGACGGGGTGTGTGTGTGTGTGTTTGACCAAGAGAGATGAATTCTGTGAAGATAAAAAGTTTCTAAAAAAAACCATTGGTGTAAAATATTCTTTTTAATAATGTTATTTGTTTGCATACAAATGAATTGGGAAGAGACTTAAGTTGATGCTGTGTATGACTTTGCTCCTTGAACCTTTCTGAAGGAATTTGTTAAGTACAAATGACAAGTAATTGCCTGTTTATTGCTAAAAGATGTAAAGGTGTCCCTGTGTCTGAAGAAATAAGGATAAAGTAATGTGGAAATAAGAATATGGTCCATAAACAACTAGCCCATTTTGACTATCCTTAAAAGATGCTAACTGTAATACTATGATGTGAATGGCAGCAACTCAGTAGAGACAATTTTCCCAACTGAGAAGGGTCTGTGCACAAAAAATATACCTGTTAAAAGTTCGTGAAATTCACAGTTTCTGACTAGTTAAAAAAGAAGGCAATTCTAGAGACAATTTGTATTTGAGAAGAGATGGATTCTGGCATTTTCCACAAACATGCCTTAAATACAGAGTTGAGAGTGCTTGTGTGAAAAGATACATAAATATGAAATAAAACATGAAATAAAAATGAAAATATTTATAGCGAGGCAAAGGAATATCTTCAAACTTGCTTTGACTATTTTGAAAAGCAATGATTGAATAATTTCCTTATCCTTCATGGCTCTTTTTATAAAAGGAACTTCTCCGTGGATAGAAACAATAAAGTGGCATGTTCAAAATCCTCACACCATTTGTAGCAGTGGAAGGTCCCTCAGCATTTACGTTTGCTGACAAGAGCCTGGTTCACACAAAGAAGTCATTTGGGGGATTTGGTTTACCTGATTCTCCCCTACAGAAAATGCTTCAGATGCATCACACAGTTTAAAACCATGTGATATCCCCAAATCCTGCTCAGCATATTTCGGTTTGCAACTCAAAAACCACTCCAATGCTTTTGTTGCAGGTGGGTTCTCTAAATGCTTCTTTCTTTGCAAGAAGGGGATTCCAAGTAGAAATGTATGAAGCAAGATCAGGTATGATAATTTGATAATATCTGAATACTCTAAATGATAACCCTGTTTATATGGATGCCTGCAAATCTGACTGAAATGCTGTTCTTTTAGAAAAAATTATTAGCGTTTACAAATGCAAAGATAAAAGACTAATACGAACTAAGGAAAATATAAAAAATAAAGGAAAAAAGAGAAGTGTAAAGAGATAGAAAAAAGAAAGGAAAAAGGAAAAGGAAAAGAAGATATATAAAAGATGACCCTCCCCTCTCTCCAGCAAGTATAAACAATTTCAGTAACTTAGCACCTTCTCTAGTATTTGAATAAAAAAAAGATCTTTTCTTTCCATATCTCATCACTTATCGATAATCAAATTGTAAAAACTCATCATTCAATCCTAATCAGCAAAAGTCTATTGAGAGCTACCAGAACATATGTATTTTAACCTTAATCAAAGAAATCCATTTTGTAATCCAATTTATCACTTTCTCTAAGAAGTAAAGCAAAAGAAATCTCTCTCCATTTATAAACAGATCCTTAAAACCTCATCACTCAGTCCTGATTTTTTAAAAAAAATCCCATTAATAGCTAACAGAAACCAGAACATATATTTTAACCCTGGTCAAATAAATTCACTTTGTAAACCTTCTGATTACTTTTAAAGAGCTTGATCTATAATCCTGTCAAATAATGTTCCACAAGTTGATTTCTTATCATTTTCTCTTTGTCTCCTTTCAGGAACAGCTTCAGTAGTTTTTCTTTGTGTCCTCTCAAAAACAGCTTAATTGGTTTAACGCATTCCTTTTGTAAATCCAAGATAAGAAGGTTTTCCAAATCACTCATCTGATTTATTATTTATATATCTCCTTTAATTATTATGACATCAGTTGCTTTCATTTGTGGATCCATTTTGACATCTTTTTCCATATCACTCTTATACTCTGACATTTTAAAATCCATTTTCAGATCCACAGCATCTTTTTCCATATCACTTTTATAATCCAGCCTTTTTAAAAACTCCAAATCCACATTCAAATCAACCTGAATTTCTATTTTATCCAGTCAACAAAACTTTCCCATGGGAGGATTTCTTACAATTAATTTCAAAATCTTCATATATTCTTTTATAAATTTTAAAACACCCCACAGGACATATTCTTTCAAGTCCATCTAGCCCTTTAACTTTCCAAAATCCACATTCTACCATGTAGGTGTAAGGATTAAAAAGAAAAGATTTACTTTTTAGAAAACAGCAAAAAGGAGACTAGAATGTGGATTTTGGAAAGTTAAAGGGCTAGATGGACTTGAAAGAATATTTCATATTCTTTTATAAATGTTAAAACACCCCACAGGAAATATTCTTTCAAGTCCATCTAGCCCTTTAACTTTCCAAAATCCACATTCTAGTCTCCTTTTTGCTGTTTTCTAAAAAGTAAATCTTTTCTTTTTAATCCTTACACCTACATGGAGCTTCTTTCATCCAGGGTGGAAGGAGATTCTCTTGCCCTTTGGAAGGTTCTTAACTTCTAAAAAATCAGTAAAAAAGCAGCTTCCTAAAGTAATTAAGAGAGGAAGTAGGCGAACCCAGTGTGTCTTTGAAAGGCACCGAACCATGACTTAGGCAGGATGGTTTTCCCCCAGCTCCCAGAACTCTCAGACCTGCTGGCAATTGCTATTTTACAATTTCTTCACAGGGAGATTCTGTATGGAGCAAATTTGTGGGTGATCCTTGTCCTCTCCTTGATCCGGAGAGTAGTCCCAAGGAGCCAATGCATTCACCGGCTCCTCTTTCGACTACGGTTGTCGGCTCCGGAAAGCAGAGCCATGTTCAGTCTGCCATTGCTGTCTTCAGAAGTCTCTGAAATGCTGTTCTTGAAACTTCTAATTCTTTCAGAAGTGGAGATCTTATAGTATTAAATCACCAAGAGACGTTGGTAATTAGCATTATTTAAAATAATAATAAAAATTTCAGTGGTGATTTAAATTTTCCAGATCAAATACAGGATCTCAGCTATCCTTATATTTGCAGGCTAGGTCAATGTTACCTGTTTCTAAACTTCACATCAGCGAATAACCTTACAGTTGAGAAGATAAAATCATATAAATGGCCAGGAATTGTCTTGCTAGGATCAGGGTCAACAAGAGCCTCGATGGGAAGCCCTTGTCAGATTTTTCTTTTCAAAGAGAGGGAATTCTACCCCCTCAGTTTTCCAAGTGTTCCGAGGGAACATGATTAGACAAGCTCATATACAGGTAGTTATGACCATTCGTTCAGCTACCATTCAAAGTTACGAAGGTACTGAACAAAAGGACTTAAACTGGTCTTCGAAGTTCTGGCCGTTGCAGTGCCACCGCGGTCGCGTGAACAAATTTTGGTGCCTGGTAACCTGCTCACACTTATGACCAGGTGCAGCATCTTGCAGTCATGTGATTGCCGTTTGCACCCTTCCCTGCCAGTTTCCAACAAGCAAAGTCAGTGGGAGGCCAGCAAGGAAGGTCACAAGTTGCTGGGGTAAGTCTCTCCCCCACAGGCCTTTCTTCGCTCGCTTGCATGGACCACGCCCTCCTTCCCCTCTTTGCTCACACACATCCCATGCCCTCTTTCCCCAGCCTCCCTGTGCTTGCACACACATATGCACGCACCCCTCGCCCTCTTTCCATGGCCTCCCTGCACTCGCACGCACATACCCCACATCTTGGGTTATGATGACAACTGGGACTGCCTGGATTGCTGTCACTAAACGATGTGGTCACGAGACATCATACTTTACAACCATATTGCTTAGCGATGACAATCCCAGTCCCAATTGCAGTTGTAACTCGAGGACTGCCTGTAGTTGAATAGCTTGTATGTATCTATAACTTTTTCCCCTTTTGAAAAAATCCAAACAATATTTCTGAGATCAGTTTTCAGTGTACTATCCTGTGTGCCCAATCCAGCCCTTGAATTAGAGGACTTGTCTCCCTGGAGGTAAGAATCTGGCTCATTAAAACCATCTATTGGCTGAAACTTATAGGTGGGTGTGGCTACATTTATACTTGCTGACCATTTTGATCAAGCTGGATAAAAATGCCAGCTTCATTCCTTACATTGCTGGTGATTTAATACTGTTTTAAAAAAATATTCAGGGGATGACCAAAAGGGGTGCTAGGGAAGACCCAGAGGAAGAGACCTACAAGCAGACCCTTCTGCAGCTCTGTGACCAGATGTTTTCCTCTGGCTGGTGTCAGGTACAAGAAGGAGATCAGCAATGGAATCAACAGTGTGTGGGGGAAACTGAATTTTGGTGCTTGAAAAGCAGCCTATTGTCAGGCAGCATCCAAAAAGGGAGGGCAAGGGAGTCAGAATAATGTAAGCAACATTGCAATGCAACCCTCTTCCACCCCGTCCCCCCCGATCTTACAAAGCCATCTCCCCCAAGGGCAGAAATTTGCTGTGAGGTTGCTTTCATTATTTGGACAGACTGACTCAAAGGCACCAAAAAAAGTGGGGGGGAAAGGATGCCCATCCATGAGATACAACATGCCATTCATATTCTTCTGCTATCCTTAAGGGAAAAAATTGCCTAGTTCTACCCTTGTACAAATCAATGTTCTGACAGTGAGTAATAAGGAATTATGAACATTTTTCATACCAGCAATATAATATCTTAAGGCACGTGATAAATGGATGGTTCATTTCATTTCAGATATCCGTGGTTCAAGTGTAACTCGTGGCAGGAGCATTAATTTGGCCTTGTCTCATAGGGGACGGCAAGCTCTCAAGGCAGTTGGGATGGAAGATCAGGTGACTATGCCTTAAAGAGAAAGATCTAACATTCTTTGCAGCAGGGGGATTATAGGATTGCTGTTTGTTTATTAATAACGTTTCTAGGGCACCCAGTCCTGAAGGACTCTGAGCAGCATAATGTAAATGTTTACATATAATATATAATAATAATTTTTTAAAAACCCCGTCATTTATTGTGATGCCCCCATGTATCTCATGCTGAAAAGGATGCTGATTTCATGATCTGGAAGCAAGAACATTGCTGGAGCTCTTGGCAGGCAGAGTTTAGGCACAGTGTGAGTGTCTGAGGAGGTGGAGTCGAGCACACACTGGGAGGGTGCTTGGATCAGAGATTAGCCCCACGAGCAGGGCTCAAGGAGGGTGTGTGTGCAGGCAGATTCAAGGAAACAGGAGTGGAATTACTGAAAAGGAGAGCGTGGGATGTGCATTTGCATACCAAGTTTCCTGAGCTGAAGGAGAGACATAAACAAGGCTGACTGGCCTATCAGAAAGCATAGTGTAGCCTTGGAATGCCAAGAGGTGAGCTGGAGTCAGAGCCAAGGCCAACAGTGTAATGGGAATCAGAGACACATAGCATGGAGCATAAAACTGGATGTAAAACTGGTTCCAGCAATGGAGGCGTGGTGCCGGCATTGTCTCAATCCTTGAACAACCCTACTGAGCTACTGTGCTACTGAGGAGGCAGACAGCCTACCAAATCTGATGGCTGCTTACTAATGAGTCACCTCCTGTGGATGTGCAGGGATCTAGTGCCTGGCAACTGCATTGGTTGGGGAGGCCTCTTTCCTGGCAGAATAGGGACATGATAGGACAAGACTTCATCCAGGGAAACAGAGGGCTCTCCAGCGTCACTGAGCCTGCTCTTTGGGCCATGCATCCTCCCCCACTTTGTTTCTGGATGGAACTGGATGATCCAATGAAAGGCATGAGCGTCTGCAGCATCCTCCCCAAACCATTCCTTCAAGCCATATGCTCTCCAGTCAGTTAAATACTGCAGAACTCTGTGGGGCTGTAGGAGTTGAGGTTTTGGTGGACCTCATATTCTTCATGGTTGTCCACAAACACTGGTAGAGGTGATGCTGGAGTTCATAAACCAGATGTGATGTGATACCCAAACCAGGGGAGGTTGGTGAAAGAGAGGGTGGAGCCAATAAGAGGGCAGAAGTAGGAGCTTTAGGTGATGGGATTGATCTGTGCCAGGATGGGAAAGGGACTGTCAGCCACACTAGGTAGACCAGACTAGGAAATCAACTCCACAGATAGTCTAAAACTACTCTTATTGAAATTGGCTATAATAATAGAATCTTGCAAGTCTGACTTTGCTGTACCTCCTCCTTATATTTCAGTAAATTAGGGAACTTCTGTCTTCCAAATATTATCAGGACATTCTGGCCTTAAAAAATGTTTTACCATTTGTTGCCTTGGCAACAGAGCTGGCATATCTCCATCAAAGTAATCTTCCTTTTTCTCTATAGGGACCAATATATCACACTGTAGCTAGTATGTTTGACCTCACAGAGGCAGGTGCTTTGTCACTAGCCAGACCCAGTCATTGACTTTTCAGGGGTGGTCTTGCTTGGTGGACAAAATTTTTATACCACTCCTTGGCTGCCAGTAATTATTAGTGGAGTATGTTATGGATGGTCTGCAGTTCATATAATGATATGTGGTGAACAGATAGCGATCCACTTTCAGGAGACCAAACAAAGTCTTCCAGAACCCACCAGTGAAATGGACCATATAATATGAGACAATACAAGCAGGCAAGCCATGCAACTGGAAAACATAATGGAGAAACAGATTGGCAGTCCCCTTGGTGGTTGGGACCCTTGCAAGGGATGAAGTGCCCCATTTTAGTAAAATGATCCACCACCACCAGTATGGTGGTGAACCCTTGAGAGTGTGGGATGTTGGTAATAAAATCCACGAAAGGGGTCTTCCAGGGGCCTGAAGGCATTGATAGAGGTTGAAAGAGGCCAGTAGGTTTGAACAAGACATCTTTAGCCTGAGGACAGGCAGGACAATTGTTACATACCAAATCTGAAGGGATCCTTGATAGCAAGCAGCTCTTTCTCTCAGATAATGTAGTTGACATCAACCAGGCTCAACCTCCTTGAGTGAAAGATACAGGGCAAGGCTTGTAGATCTGATGTTGTGGAATGCAGGAGGACTACTATAATGGTCACATTAGAAGCATTGGCTTCAGCTACGAAGGGCTTCACAGGGTCAGGATGGTGCAGAAGGAGGACCAACACAAACATCTCCTTCAGGCAGTGGAAATCCCACTGCATTTCAGGACCCCATTGGAATGGCCCTTTGTTTCAGAGTAGCCCAGAGATGGGAGTGGTGATGTGTTAGAAGGCAGGGTAGGCGGTAGATGTTTGCCAGCCCCAGAAATCGCTACACATCTTTTTTTGCTCTTTGGGGGATTAGCTGGGTTACTTGAACCTTGGCAGCATCCATGGCCAGGCCTAAGCACAGTACCCCAGGAATTTGACCTTGGTGAAGTCACATGTATGCTTTTCCAGTGTGGTATATAGCAGTGCTTTCTGAGATGCTGCAGGGTGACTTGACATACATGGAACGCTCCTGTGGTGCCTTGCTTGAGGAGGCATGCCTGTGCTGGCAGAGAAGGCACTTGGCAACACCCATATCCAGGAAAGCAGGGAATGCTCAGCATCCTTTACAACCCAATCTGTTGATGCTCCTTGGGCTTGACAGTTGAAGAACATGGAATTATTAGAAAGAAGAACTGAAATGCTGGAAGAAAGTATATATTTTTTCTTATGATGGATTTAAGAGGGAATTATTCCATCTCCCTTTCGGATGTTTTAATTACCAGGCAGAAGAAAACTGCAAACAACTACACAAAACTCAGCAGGGAATTGAGAAGGGTAGAGCATGCAGAAGGCCAGAGCTCATTTTGAGGGTGCTCTTGAATTGTTAATCTTCAGATAGATGGATTATAAATAACAAATATAGGAAGATAATGTTACAAGTCGATACTGATGATGGGTTCAAACTCTCTTAGGCAAGTGGGCACATTTGGGCTTGAGAATATGACACAGCATCTGTCAGGGAGCAAGGCTTGCTTTCCATAGAAGGGCGGCCACAGCATAACATTTCAAGATTCTAAACAGCAACAGTTAAACAGTTAAACTGAAAGTAACTTGCTTCCAAACCAAACGCTATTCAGAGACAACTCTTTCTTACTTTCTTTGCCTGAGCATGTTTTTTGGCCCACTGGTATCTGCTGACATGGAAATCCTGCTATATCCATGATTGGTTGGGGGCTACAACTGCCCGTCCACCTTATTTTTTATTTTTTTCATCCATGAGATACTTCAAGAACAGGTTATTTATTATTATCTTTAAATTAGGGCTATCATAACTGGGCTTCAAAAATCTAGACAACTATCCTAAACCTCCCCCGCCCCCCCAACATTGAGCCTTTTGAAATTCCAACCAGTTGTTTGTGGCTTTAAAAAAAAATTCAATTACAAAAAAAAATTTTTTTTGAATTTCAGATTGTGTCCAAAGGCATCCCCATGAGGGGAAGGAGAATTCACACACTCTCAGGCAAAAGATATTCAATTTTTTATGGAACAAAAAGCCAGGTACCGTGTTAAATATTCCTTTAGCTTTTGTAGTTTATTCTTGTGTATAATTCTTAGGATATAGCTAATGAAAAGTCTGCTACTATTATGAACAGAGGCACTACTGAGAGTATGTGTATATTTTCTGGAAGTATGAGCAGGACACAAATGGCACCTTCCGACATTGCAGCCATCTTTAGCATTGCTCTCAGTGGAAACTGGGATCAGCAGGAGTGCACAGCACACAGCAGATTTCCCTTTTGCTGTGTTAATTTTGCCTAGGGGAGAATAGAAAGATGTACTTGTGGACTTGCTGTTTACTCCTGGTGATCTAGCATATAACAATCATCCCTGCTCTTATATATGCATGTTCTCTCTTTTTCTTCTACTTCTTCTAAAATGTGACGACATGTTGGAAGAATGGAATGAAATTTGGGGAACTGGCTTGTGGCATATATATTCAAATAGAGTTAAAAAAAAAGAAAACCATGGGGTGACTATGCAGTCATTGATGAATAAATGTCACTGGATTAGAAATTAAAATCAAAATGCTGTCCCCATAGATTAGGCCCATATTCAGTGCAATTCATACAAGCAGCTTGTGCTATACAGTAATTTCAGGTAAGCTCTGCTAGAAATTCAACAGTGACTGTGGAGAAGAGGGTGTCTCTAAAATATTGCAGCCTTGATTTGGTAGCCTTCAAAATGGGCTCTTCTAAGTCTTCTCTACTTTCACCTAACAGAGTGATGTTGGCTGCCTATCTTAAATGGTTATAGTGTTTTGGACGGCTATTTTGATTCTAACCTTTTTCAGTCTCTGTGCCATAATTGTTGACACAGAGCTATTAGCACATTAACTTCCTTTTCTTCTGTAGCTTTATATAATTCAATATCTGGTACTTTCCTATTTGATGATGGGTGTACTTTCTTTTGTACCTCACTTTCTAGACGAGTCAGTTCCTGAATATATTCCTTCTGTGCCAACATTTCTATCATTTTGTAATCTTGTTTGTAAAGGGTTTCAGTATAGTCTTTGTCTGCCTCATCAGATTAATCAGAGTATTCCTATCTTAGTGGTAATTGTTCTTATGATGTATCTGACCTTAAAAGCATCTCTTTTCTTAATAATGTTTTTCTACTTTTTTCCATTTGTTGGCATTCTTGATGGAGATATCCTATCTTGCTGTTTCTTACTTGTCACTGAAGTCTGTGTGTCCTTCTTGTTGCCCAGAGCTATCATCCTTTATCTCTGTTTGTCTATCACAAATGCTCGTTTTGAAAGCCACTTGGATTTTTTCTTCTTTGACATTTTGGGAATAATTTTTTCCATTTTTCTTTTCAGAATGTCTTTTATCTCATCCCCCACCTCTTCAGGTTCTGTTTCACATAAATTAAGCATACCAATTCTATTCCTTTTGTTCCTTTCTGACCAAGTGTCCGTATGTCAAATCTTGCTGTCACATTTACTCTCTTCAATTTAATCCGTGTATTTGACACTGGAAATTCATTGTCTGTTTGACATTCTGTATCTGAAAATATCCTGGCTGACTGGGATGCACTTCTCCATTTTCTGTGTCCTGTGATGTATTTTGGCATCTTGTGATGCCTATGTGTAGAGTCTGTTTATACTGCTTGAATCAAGTGTTGGGAGTAAACAAAGCATTCTCTTTGCCAACCTTTGTTAACCTGTCTCCTGCATTATTGCAGTTGCCCATTCTAAATTTTCCTCTAATTCTAGGTTCCTCCATTTCTCCTATGTTTGTATTCTGTTTACCCATTTCTTGATGTTGTGTTAAGCATTTCCTGCAGTTTGCCTTATAATTCTGAATGCCTTTCGCCTTTGCATTTATAATAGGTTCACACATTTTATTACACTGATGGTTGCCTGGTATCCACTAATTTTAATAGATGTTATTTCTGTCCTCCTTTGGGTTTTAACTAAGCATATACTTAGCATTTTCCTTTTTGAGCATCACTGCCATTCTGATCCTTCCTGTGACCTCATATAAGAGTATATAATGTAATCATCTGATTTAAAGTGACCAATTCCAATCCATCTAAAATCCTAAAGGATCAAATTTAGTATGCTTCATTTCTGCTTTGATAATTTCAGGTTTTCTTCGGCTCATGCTTCTCACATTCTCTGTTCCAATTGTACATGGCCTTGTTTCAGCACTGGTACCACCAGTGACCAGATGTCCTTGCGATTTTGGCCCGGTGAGCTCATCGCTTCCAGATTTACCCGTGAATTATTTAATATTCACCCCCAGTATCTAAAACTGTGCTGACCTGAGGGTGATGGTATCTCGCCATCTGGCATTCAAACTTGCCTAAAGTTTCAGCCATGCCTACTGTATACAGGAGGGCTTTGCAATTGCTTTCTGTGTTTGGGGTTGGAGATGTTTCTTCTAGGTTTTGGCTTCTCTCATGTCTGCATAGCCCTGCTTGCTGTGGTCCCTGTTGTGGGCTACCTTTAGCCTTTCTGTCTTACCAGCAAGGCTGACCCTGAAGCTCATATTCCCACAGCATTGCTCTCAGAGCTGTTAAAAATGCTGGGTCCTCCCAGCACATCAAGATGGTAATCCTTTGGGATGGGCTTTCAGTTACCATGGTCTCTGGTCATGAAAAGAATCTAAGATTTGTATTCCTAAAAATTTGGAGAGTATTGTACAAGGGTATATTCAAATACAGTTAAACATGTATAATACTCTGTGTCTTATTTTGTTTTTGTTTGTTTTTTGATAGTATATTCTCTCTATAGATCGAGCAAATTTGAATAAGGAATTATTAACTGGTAAGTGTGGCTTAATCTGTTTTGGTCCCTTCTCAATTTATTGCATTTAAAGTAATGCTGTGTTTGAGGCAGTATCATTACTCGCATGGAATCAAGATATAAGAAGGATGAATTGCTATTTACGGTTTAAAATTAGTGGTTTAAATTCACATCCCCCTCTTAAAACGAGCATGTTAGCAGTTCAGCAAATATGTCTTCAAACCGCTTCCACCATAATTCTAAAATCAATGCTGTCTTCTTCTCCTTTTGCATGAGCTAAGACCACAAGTGGTCTATGTATGGTGTAGAAAGAGGGAGAGAGGTCAAACCCAGCAGCTCAGCACAGTCCACTGAAGAGACCAACTCTCTAAAACCCAGCAGCTCTCTGCAGCCTGCCGACCAGCAGCCAGGTTCTAAGTGTAGGTTTATCACTCTTCCAAAGTATCACACCTCCATAAGCTCAGGCAAGCTGAACATCTGGGTAACTGCAAGCCAGAGGATTTACCCAGTCATTTCGCTTTAGACACCTGGCAAGCAGGAATTGAGAACATGAACATTTCGTAGCAAGCCAAAACAGAGACAGTAGAAAAGCAATAATGGGAATAGCGAATGTTATGTTGGTAGAAGTTACTGCCCCCGCCCTCCATTGAAGAACAGGAGAACAGCACTTTCACCTTGCTCAGAGCTGGTAGAGTTCTGGCTGCTTGCAGTGAGCAACTATCGTACTGCAGCCAAAGACCTGAGTATGTTGGAGTGGGCTGGAGTGACCTGTTTTTCACCATACGGTTGGTCTCTGTGGCACAAAATAAACATTCTTAGTTATTGAGAAGGCTAAGGCAGGAAGTAAGAAAGTGGATGCATATAAACCGCATCAAGTGCCAAAAACCAAATCTTGTGTTGGCACACATACGTCAGGCCAAATTACCGGCATCTAATAACAGGGATCTTAGTGAATGGACTGGATGAGACAAACTGACGTGGTTAGTAAATGAGTTATATTCTACACATGTATTTGTTACAGAAATATTTTCTTACAAACAGTTGTTCAGATCTCTACCCCTAGGAAAATAAGTAGTTCCTTGTTTTGTCCAAATATTTACATTTCATGCTGTTTTCTTTTTCCTCTCTTTACAGCTGCTGAGAAATATCCCAATGTTAAATTATACTTTGAGCACAAATTGCTTCACTGCAATGTGGAATCAGGGCTACTGACCTTTTCAGGGTAATCAAATAGCTGCAGATTCTCCAGCACACTCTAATCATTAATCAGTACCCAAACAATAGGCCACACTGACGCCTTCCAGCTGTTGTGGGGGCCTGTATTTGTGTAAATTCAAAAATCATTAGGGTTTTCTTTCAAAAGCTAGCAAAGATTAACAATTTAACCAAACACAACGAAATGTTTAATCAACCATCAGGTGACTGCATCTCATAAACTGCTGACAGTATAACCTTGGGTGGAGGGACTTCTGTTGAGATCAGGGTATATTTGTTTTTGAGCAACGATTCATATTTTCACAAGATAAAAGGTTTCCTCAGTAAATAAATGTAAAGCATCAATTCTATGCATTCAGTCAGTCTCCTCCTCCTCCTCTTCTCCTAATAAATATTTGAAATCAAATATATGAAAACATCTTTGAGTGGACATTTGAAAAGACCATCTGCTCATGCAAAAAACATTTTGAGTAATATTGAATTATAGGACTGACAAATCAATCTTATTGTCAATAAAATCTAACAGCATGTGGAGAGTCAATTGTTACATTAAAATATACATTTTAGAAGCCAGTGATTTTGAATTTTTTAGGATTGCTACTGGCTGTCAAAATTCCTATTTCAGAAATAGCTTCACTTACTTCCTTTTCCCCAAATCTGTTTGAAGAGAGTTCAGTAGGAAGAGAAATAAGTAAATTCTTTAAACTTAATGTTACAAAGGGAGATCTGCGCAAACAGAGGTCAGGTTCAATCACCACTCAATATACCGCAATATTTATTGGCATCTTATAAATAGCTGAATACACATACCAATGGTACTCTTTGTGTTTTGTTAAAGATCAGACCAAATGACTAAAGAGGTCACCTGTGACTTAATTGTGGGCTGTGATGGAGCCTTTTCCACAGTTAGGAAGCCATTTGTGAGACAAACACGGTTCAATTACAGCCAAGTGTATATTCCACATGGATACCTGGAACTGAAAATTCCTCCAAAAGATGGAGATGTAGGTAGTGAAAATTCATGGTAAACTTGTTTCTCCTGTTGCCAGTTGATAGCTGCACCGGCACTGACAGACACCTTTCCATTACTTTTTTGGTCTTTCAGTTTGCAATGGAGCCAAACTACCTTCACATCTGGCCTAGGAACACATTCATGATGATTGCGCTGCCAAACCTGGTAAGAGAGCTAATGTATCTTCCATCTTTGACATTCGGGAATCTGGATTTGGTCTGGAGAATCAGTTTCAGCCAGGAAACTTGTGGGAAATGTACAGTATTAGGGATTGCATGTCTGGAATTACATGTCTAACTTTCTTTCTGACACAAAGGCATAAATGTTCTCTCTTGTTGCTGCTCGTAGGCCATATCTAGCTCATCCAGCCACTGAACTGGATCCAGCCTGAGTGGATTCAGCCACTCATAATCACTGTCTCCTACATGCAGGCATTCCCGGCACAGTTCGCTACAGCCTGAGGGGTGATTTTAGGAGAAGGAGTCACAAAGTGGAGGAAAGGAGGCATCACCTCCTACATGCTGTACTAAGTGGAGTGTCAGGTGTTACATTAAAATATACGTTTTAGAAGATTTCAGCCACCATAAACTTTTAAAGCTTGGTTAATGGAGAAGAGTTTCTATTTTCTTTGCAATGCAGGTAGTTCTCAACTTACAACTACAATTGGGACTGGAATTTCCATCGCTAAGTGATGCAGTCATAAAGCATGTCACGTGACTGCATCGCTTAGCGACGGCAATCCTGGGGCAGTCCTGGCTGCCATCATAACCCCAAGACACATGGGTGGTTAAGTGGGAAGAGGTGGGAGTCCCAGGTAAGGAGCACAGGAGAGCCACGGTGGGGGGGAGGCATGGGAGGCCCAGTGCAGGCCACACATGAGTTGGGGAGGGGACTGCTGTGGTGCAGCACGAGCTCAGGAAGGCCAGGGAAAGAATACGCTGCAACTCGGGCTTTTTGGTGTGCTGCAGCTCTGGGGCTGCAAGCTTTTTGTAGGCACAGAGCTGCAGTGCACCAGGAAGCCCCTTTGCGCCATGCAAAACCCAGCCCCAGCCCAGCCCAGCAGCATGGTGCAAAGCTGCCATGCCCCAGGAAGTCCCAGCCGCCCCAGCCCAGTCCCAGCCACAGTCACACTTGCCACCCTGTCCTCTGAGGCCCCTGCAGCCCTGCACTCTGCTGCCCCAGCTGTCATTTGCCATCTTCTTGCTCCCGCTGCTGATGAGGTATGCCTGCCATGGCTCTTCATGAGGCAGATGCTGGCCACGTGAGGCCATCTTTCCCAGGTCTTGCAAGGAAACCACCATATACAACCTTAGGAAGAAAGCCTTGTGCAGCCAGCAGCTGCCTCGTGAAGGGCCAGGCCAGGCATTCTTGGTCAGCAGTGGGAACAAGAAGACAATGAAGGTCAGCTAGGGCAGGAGGGGCCGTGGAGCGCAGGGGGCCAGAAAGGCATAGATGGAGGGGAGAGAGGTGGGTGGGGGGAGTTGAAGTGCCCCTGTGGTCATAAGTGCAGGTGGGCTGCCAAGCACCTGAATTTTGATCACGTGACCATATGGGCGCTGCAACGGCCGTAACTTCGGGAACCGGTTGTAAGTCTCTTTGTTCAGTGCCATCGTAACTTAGAACAGTCGCTGAATGAATGGTTGTAAGTTGAGTACTACCTGTACAGAATAGCATGTTCTAGAAAACAGCCTAACGACAAAGCAAAAATGGTGATTTTTCGCAGTGAAGGAAGAATGTAACAAACAGGGTTAGATATCAGCTATTACAACCTATAGTGTTCCCATCTTCCTTCCAAAAGATGGCCTCTTGTCAGATAAAGCATTGCAATAAACGCAAAACCTACCTCCTGACAGCCAAGATCAAATTTGCTATTTCATCTCTTAAAATGGACTGGAAAACAGCTTTTGCTGTACCATCCAGTTGGGCAAGCATGATTCTAAAATGGGAATGCTCTGAGGATTTTTTTTTCTTTCCCACATTTAGGCCTTCCCCTGCTGTGTTATATATCACTAGAGGGCTGCCTGCAAAAACAGACAGACAGACAGACATAAAACAACCCTTCAGTAATTCATAGTTAGAAAGTGGGTGGTTTAGGAGTTAGAAAAGATCAGCTGTTTCTTTGCTCATTGTTATCTTTTCTGGGTTTGGTTTCAACTGATAGGATTATTTTGTTGCTCAACTTGTTTTTCCTCACAGATTTGATAGACTAGACTGACGTAGTCCATCCTTTTTCTCTGCCTGTAAGTGCAGATGGCATCAATATTCTGTAAGCTCGTAATTTCTGATAGACAGTTTTAGAATGGGTTTTTAAAAATGTCATTTTCTTTTACTTTGCAAGCAAATGTAAGGCATCTCCTTTGCTGATAGGTGCTGTCAAAACAGCAGCAAGCAAATAAATATTTCGTTTTTGAATGCCTGTTTCACTTTCAAATGAATAGACACTTGGAATGTGATTAATATTCCATTGACCTTAATGGTCTGCAAGTTCACCAAGATGACAGCTAAAAATCTGTGGTTCTTTTCCCACTTGCACCTAATCATAGCACTAAGATGCCCTGATGATAGCATTTTCCTGCTTCATCCCCATGAGATTGCCTTCAGCTCATCGCCAACCCCTGAGTGAGGCTGGCTTAAGTCATCCTTAGCTGTACTGGTGTTATAGTAGCCTAAAGCAGCATTTATTTTGACAGAACCCAAGAACACCCTCAAGATATAGAAAACTGTAGACTTTGTCAGCCAGGAAGGTCAGACGACTAGCAATGAACAGAGGCAGTAAAGGGTAGGAGTTTGGCAATGGAGACACGTTGCTGTAGTTTTCTGCCTTTTCAAGCAGGTGGATAGTGCTTCAACCCAGCAGTGGAGGAAGCCCCTAATGGAGCATAGAAAGTAAGTGCAGAAGCTTTGAAACGGGGGGAAAAACAGTATTTTTTTACTGAAAGCCTTATGGGATGGCACAGTTATAGAATTTAATTAATTTTTTTAAAATAAAGACAAGACATTTGATAACCGTTTTATTATATACTTACAAATAAGTTAGTTTAACATAACTGAATCAAATATATATTTTTTCTCTTTACCTTGCAGGGGGACTGCTTTTAGGATTGAACTAAGTCAAAATTCCTTTCAAGTTTTCATGTAATTTATTCATTTTTAATCCATAGGACAAATCATTCACATGCACACTCTTCATGCCCTTTGATGATTTTGAAAAGCTTGCAACAGGAGAGCAAGTCCTGAATTTCTTCAAAACCTATTTTCCAGACTCAGTTCCCCTAATAGGAAAGTAAGTTTTATTTTGTCTACTATGATTCAAATCAAATCAAATAAAAACAAGTCCTAGTCTAAGAATGAAGACATCTAAGAATCAGTTAATTACTGTGTATGGCAGAACAAACTCTTGCAGAGATAATGAGAGACCTGAAAGTAATTGATTATTTTCTTTGTGCAGTATTTACCACTGTGCATTAATTTCCACTTATTACTTCATTTAGTCTTCACTCAAAAAGAAAAAAAGATTCTGAGATCTGACTTTTTTTGCAAATTGTCCTATAATCCAAGATGGTATATAAAAGATTAACTCAGAGAAATAAAACTCTGTGTGAATGCTAAGAAAGCAAGTAAAGATTAAGATAACTGCCTACCAATTCAGCTGTCCTCCAAAACCGATTTACACATTCTGTTGAATCTTTGCTTTATATTAAGTCTTAATTAAACCTTTAGTGAAGTTTTTTTCAAAGTTATAATGCAGATTAACAATAGGAGTAGTTTAAGACAATGCAGAAAACACTTTGGAACCTCAGTCATGTCTATAATATTTTTTCTTTTTTTTTAATAAGAACTTTATTAAGTTATAAAAAAAGCATAAAGATAAAAGCAAACAAGAACTAATAATCAAAGCGAGAAGTAGAGAACAAGGGAGTTAGAAATAAAGAATACCGAAGTGATGGAAAGTAAAGAAAAGGGAAGAAAGGAAGAATTACAAAAAGAATGACTTCTGACTTCTTATG